ATATATGAAAATATATTAATAAAAAAATTATAATTAAAAGAAAATAATTATTTAAAAATGAAAATTAATTATAAAATAAAAATATTAATATAACATAAATTTACTATAAATTTATCTTTTAGAAACATAATAACAAAAAGTAAGTTGATAAATTAATCCACCAAAATTAATGGGTTGAATAAATTGACAGATTTATTTACCTCACTAAAATTAAGCGAACTAATATTAACTTATCAAATCCAATTTATTATCATTCTTAATAATGTACACCCAAATTCTAACTTAATTAGTACAAAAATGTATGAGTTATCTTAAATTTAAGTATTCAATTTCATTTGAATGATATATATATATATATATATATATATAGTACTATTTTGAATTACCTTGCGTCAATAGTTAAATTAGTCTTTTTAAATTAAATTTTATAATTAAGGTATTTTCAAGAGACTTTTTAAGAAGAAAAAAGTGACATAAGATAGTATAAATTTATTATATTTTTTATAAACAGTATTGCTACTAAGAATTTTTATATTAATTATTGAACGTGTAAATTAATTAATATAAAATCGTTTTAATTTAATTACAGATTTCAAATGTAAGTCAAATAAATAACTCAAACAGCATTATTTTTAAAAAAAAATTATGATTTTTAGCTGAGCAAAATTATATCCTAATCGATTTTTATATTTTAAACACGTGATACTTTTATTAAATAGTCAAAGTAAATAAATAAATTAGTTAATTAATTTAATAAATAATCTTCATTTATTTTTTAAATTTAAATATAAAATGAATGAGTTTTGATTTTGATTTATGTAAATTTTTTTATTTTTCATCCTTCTAAAATAAATAAATATATATATATATATTTATTTATTTATATTGATTTTGCTCTTTGTAAATAAATAACTTTTGATTTTAATTTCTGTAAAATACTTTTTTATTAATTTTTATTTTTTTAAAATCTAAAATTATTAGTTTTAATTCCTTAATAATAATTTTATGATAAATAAATAATATTTATTTTAAAGATCTTTAAAAATATTTAAAGTTGATAAATACTGACATAACATCACTAGTAGTTATGAATTAACCTTTTAATAAATAAAAAATAATTAAAAATAATCACATAAAAAATAAAGACTAAATACAATAATTATAATTTTAGAGGGATAAAAAATAAAGAAAAATTTATAATAACCAAAATCAAAAATCTTGTTAATTTTGTAGGAACTAAAAACATATTTAATTTAAATTATATCATTAACCTATCCGATGCGCAAAAGAAAAAAAAAATCAATACTTGAAACTTAATTATTCTCAAAAGTTATCGGTACAAATAATTCTTAATTAAAACTTCAACTTAACATAAAGTGACAGTTGAAGGATACTAATTTATTCTTATATGAACTGTCTTAGTAATAAAGAGTTATAATTTTTATTAAAAATAATAATAATTAAGCTAATCTGTAAGGCGGCTTTCTATATATTCTTGTTATAAATATGCTATTTTATATGTGTAACCTAACACTTTATATATATATATATATAAGGCCATTTTTAATGAAAAAAAGAGGCTAATGATAAGATATTTTGAAAGAATATGAAAAACTAGGGAATTATCCTAATTGATATTCACATTTTTTTTTTTTGACAATTTTGTTCCTAAAATTACCTTTTAAATTACTCTTTTTTAACAACTATCTTTATAACTATAACAACTCAAAATTTGTTCATACTATTGATCGTTCACTTTTATTTTAATTTTAAAAAAATACAAGAAAGTTTGGAGTATTTTTAGTTCAAAATTAATGTATAAAATAATTTTATAATTATTCTTCAATTTGAATTAATAAAATAAAGTATTAAATAAATTTTAAATTTTTTAAAAAATTTACAGACTTAACCTATGCATTAAAAATCTTAAATTCAATTATTGGATCGTTAAAATTTGATGTTAAAATTTGATATGAAACATGAGTTATTGAACAAAATAAATATACTTAGACTTATTTTTAGAGTAAATAGATTCCTTCATTTTAATGAGTTTTATTTTTGAATTAACCGAGTTAACATGAATATAAACTAATAATATTGAAAAGTTTGTTAAAAAATTAGTATTTTTCTTTATCTAAACATGATGAACCTCTACAACATGTAATACGAGAATTACTTAACCTTGAACAACTCTTTCTCTGAATACTTACAACACGTCTCCTTAACTTTCTACTTTTCTTTTTTCAAACAAGTTTCTGTAAATATTTATAGTAATGTACACGTCTGTGCCAGTTTTTGTAAAAGTGTATCAAGTTTAGTTGCAAATGTAATTCTCAGATAAAATATTTACATAAATGAATTGCCAAATGATTGTCGTGTTGTTGCGTATGAGTGGAAGATAAAAAGCAACAACAAATGAATACGACTAAAAATTACAGCTATTGTATTGTGTTATTAATTAACAGATTATTATATACTACAGAAGAAAAAAAAAGTATCTATCTATAGAAAATGTAACCGATTATTTTGCATATATTTTGGTAGAGAAGCACGTTATAATGTTTTGAATGATTCTATATCGTACACTGTCTTCACATTTTTACAATAATAATGTTGACAGACTGTAATTCTGTATAAAGGTATGTGAATGTGTACAAAATATTAGTCATTACAAGGAAGAAACAGCAACAGGAGCAGTTACTATTTCTATTACGATGCAGTGTTCAAACTCCAAACTTTAAGTTATGACAAAACCATCAATGGAATAGTCCTTAGTCCTTATCCGATAGCTGACAATGAAAATTCTGAAGAACCATAAGTGGGTCCTCAAGGAAAATGGTTACAAATGTAATAGCATCAAATAGATTCCTCAATATCGTACCAGAAATTATCCAATTGTACATAAATTTAATATAAAAAATATTTAATCAAAATGGAGATTTTAAAAAAATATATATATGAATGATATCACTAATATGGTGTGGATAAATTTGTGGTCCATCTCTTGCATGCTATCGAATTCTAATATAGGAGGTTCTTATCTAGTATTTGTAATGATTATTTCCTTTCTCTTTCAGAGTCTAGAGAATCTTTTATATTGGTTCACATAAGGTTTTGGCAGAATTGACATATGTTAAATATAGAGGCCCAACTAAGTGACACTCAATAAATTTCAATCATTCAGCTAAATTATTGATTAATATGAAGAAAACGTCAAAAGGGTCCCATTTAAATGTGGGTCCATAATACTTTGTTGGGGAAGTTTTACAAAAAAATAAGATCCTCCATGCAATTTGAAGGGATGACAGTACAGTAAGGCGAAATTTCGTTATTGAGATTGAGAGCTACGTACGAAGAATGCTTAACGTTAAAAACTTAAAATTGTTTTAATTGGAAATCATGTCATCGTCAATTTAGCAAAGTTGTTTCATATGATTCATCACTTTCATATTTTATAATTATTAGTACTACATGGACATGCATGTTAATTAAAGTTAGTTACTTTTTGAACTTTGTCCGGTTAGTGGATCGTTTCGATATCCATATAAGTGTTTTTTATGCAGGTATGATATTTAAAATGAGCTGTTCAGTTTATAAAAATGATATCTCATTTTACATTATTTTTTATTTTAAAATATTTATTTACAAATGGTGGAATAAAAACAAAAAAAAATGTTTTGTTTCTATAAACATTAAAAAAAATAAAACATTTTTGAAATCAAACAAAGCCTATGAATATATAATTGTTAATTATATTTTTTATGAGTAAAAATTATTAATTATATTTAGTATACTTTTAGACATCTCATAATTTATTTATTCTTTTTAAAGCAATTTCATAATTTATCTCACTACAATAACTATCATACTATTATAAGAATGTTTATTAATGATGTAACTATATCTCTCCAAAACCTTTTACATAATTAAATATGAATTATCACTTACCAATCTTTACTAATATTTTTATAGAATGCAATTTCAACCAATTTAACTGTTTTATTTAATGATTACTAATTAGATCAAGTGTATGAAATTACAAAAAAATTCTAAAATTATTTAATAGATGAGAAAGACAAAATTTGAACACAATATTTAAAAAAAAATGTTATTTTTTAATCAAAATTAGAATTTTACTTTTGCTTACCGAAAGTCAATATTAAATGTCTGTACTAACTATTGAATTAAAGTTCTAAAAACACCTAAAGAAGTATAATTAAATTGTGTTAAAGAAGAAAAAAAAAAAAAAAAAAAAAAACACCAATCAGTTTGGTAAGATGTCCTATAAAATCAGGTTGAAAAATTTATAGATAAGCTATTTTTATATGATGGTTCTTTCACCTCATTTCTAAGGATTTATCACCCTGATTTAAGTTATTTTTTCCGTCTTACACAGCTTTCTTGTGCTACTCTACTAGCGTGAAATATATGGCAGGTTAGTGCAGAACAAGAAAGTCGTATGAAAAGGAAGATTACATAAGCAGAAAAAAGACAAAGTAGAGAAGACAGTGAGGAATAAGCTTAAAAACTAGAAGGATTGTTAATTGTTATCTTACGAAAATGGAAAATTGCGAATTAATAAGCTGCATGAGACAAATCAGGCACCATTTCTGACTTTTAACCACACGTAACATAACTTAGCC